CTCTCTCTCTCTCTCTGCATGCATGTTTTCGCGCGCAGGTATGCAATTGTCTATGTATGTATCTAGACGGCTTTAGAAGGTAGAGTTTAGAGGTTCGCTCTCTTGGCTCAGAGCTTCTGAAGAGGAGTTTCGGGCTCAGGGGGCTCAAGCTTATCGTAAGGTTTGGGGTTGAGGCCTGTGGCCTCGGGTTTAGCTGTGAGTTTAAAGCTTCGGCCTAAAATAATAACATCAGCAATGAGAACAACAGAAACAAGAGTAATAATAGTCATTACTATTATTATTAGTAGTAATAATAGTGATAGCTATTATTAATAACAAGAATAACAATAACAATAATAATAATAATATTACAATGAATAATCCTGGGGGTTTGCTCTTGGTATCGATTGCGTGACGGGCTTGGCTTCAAAGTCTGAGGCGCAGGGGCGAAAAGCGAGGAGGGTCTCATGAGACTAGCGGTGTATGGTTTAGGGTTTTGGGTTTAGGGGATGGTCTACGGAGTGCGACTGGCTTTGCTGGCAGCCTTCTAACTTCGGGGTTTGCGGCAGACTCTGAGCCCTCCGTTCTTACCCGTCCAACCTGTACTCGAGACCCAGCTTAGGGTGTAGTGTTTAGGGTTCCCTAAACCCGGTCCCCGTCAACCCGGATCCAAGAAAAACGAGCCCTACAGCGCATGGTAGGCCCAAAGCCTCCAAAACCCGGAACTCTGAACCCCTCTCTAAAGCCCCAAGGACCGGCAAAGCTCCAAGGTCCACTGGAACAGGCCTTGGGGGCCATGCAGGGTCCGCCTTAAGAAAAGCTTACATGCCTTCTGGGGAGCTGCTGGAGTTTTCCTAGGGCGTCCTCCCTAAATGCAAATGTCCTCCTTGTCACCTTGTTTTGCTTCGGCATGCTAGCATCACCATAATATTCGTACCTAGTTCAACTTAATGGCAAACTTGCGATGCGTACAGGTCCTGGGAAAGCCAAACATGCAAAGCCACGGGGCTGATATCCAACGAAACAGAAGCGGCTGCGGAGTACGGCTCGTCAGCGACACGGAAACCGGCAAGCTGGTGTGTATCGACATGTTCGGAGATTACACCAAAGTACTGATGAAGTCCAACAGGGGATACGATACAAACATGCCTCTGGATGTGTAAGGTGGAGCACGAGGGTTTAGGGGTTTAGGGCAGTTTGCTTGCCTCTGTGGCTCATCGGACCGGTTGATCAGACCGACTGAACTCTGAAACCTTGCCGCGGAGTGACGGGGCGCATCCGAACAGTACTGCTTGCTACCTTGTTCCATGTGGGTGCCACGCTGCATCTCCGAGAAGGCTGTTGCAACATTGCGACTGGGACTACGAGGACGACTTCCGACATCTTTCACGTGGCTTTAACTTCCTTGCACGGTTCCATTAGGGATCATGCGGCTGCAAAAGGCACCAATACTCCGGCTGCTGATGCTGCTGCGGCTATTGCAGCTGATCCGTCTTCATCTTCCATATTATTATACATATTGTAAGATGGCAAGAGAGCGCTGTCCTGATGATACAAGCAGGGCTCGCTACTCGCTCTCAGGATGATTCGGCCTGGCAACAATGCAAGGAGGCACCTTTTAAACTTGAAGCTTGCCGAGCGCGATGATGCTCCGCCTGCGTCTGCTAAGGTCACAGCCACAGCATCTTGATTTATTGGCACAAGGCTTCAGTGATTCAGCTTACGAATGTTGCGACTGGTCGCCCAACCCACCAGAGCATAGCCATAAGATCTGAAGCTCCAAACAAACTGACTACTTCGTAGAGTGTTGACATACACTCGAGTTGTACCGCCATGCCGCCCTGTGCCCATAGCAAAGGTCATGGCCAGTCTTGTCGTGGCTTGTCGCCATGTGCTGTAAGAGACTGAGTCTGCAAAAACTAACTGTAAAGGCCAGTGCACCACGACCAGCACCACCACCGCCGCCGCCACTGCCACCACCGACTTCGCCACCACCGTTAGCCGTACTAGGTGTATGTCGTGTAAGGTCCAATTCGCGTCGTTACAGTAGCAGAGGGAGACTGAGAAGAAGGAACGTGTTGCTGCCGTTGATATTTCGTGCTGAACGCAATGATGACAGTGATGACAAAACAACTAGAAAACAACTTGCACTGGTGATTGCGATGATGATGACGATGATGATGATAACGATGACGATGACGATAGTGATGACGATGTCGAAGACATGATTGCTACCGTTGGACAGCGATGCCAACGAACAGATTGAAGCAGTGGGCAGTAGTAGTTTTCAAGCATTGAGAATTGAGAGTCTGTGGCTGAATCTAATTGCATACTCACATCGATCGAGAAGCCAGCTGACAGCACATGTCTGTGGACAGCGTGATGCTCGCCGCATCTGCTGTCCAGTAAACACAAACCAACTCCGGCACTGCAAGCGACCTCGGATCCGCGGTTTCTGCTGCAGTGTAGGAGCCTGCTGTGCTTTCCTGAGCCCATGTATGAGCACGAGCACTGGCCGATTCTAAAATTGCTTCCAGGATCCGATGCGATCCCGCATTCGGTTTTGCATTTGCTTTCGGGCAAGTTTGACTTTCGACCTTCCGATCCCTGAAGCTCGCTGAATGCAGAAAACCCAACCATGCACGAACACCCCCTTCGGGTGGGTGAATTTGTGCCTAAGCCGGCGCGTGCATGCCGTGTTGGCTGAATGACCGCAACCTCGCTGTTTTGACTTAGCTGCCCTGGGGCGTTCAGCTCAACCGGCGGTGTCAAATGGGAGTGAAACTATGCACTGGATATCGGTGAGACCTGATAAGTGTTAAAACTGAAGGTATCTTCTACGATGTCCGGTCTGGCCCTGAAAGAGCAGCAGCCCTCATTCAATCTGCATCTTTCGTACCCCTGCATTTGATGAACGTCTCTTCTGACATCTATACCCACCAGACATCGTAAGCAGCTCCACCGTCCGAACAAGTGGGCATCGTGCACAGCCTTGCTGCACCATGGTAGGAATCCGGGCGCGAGTCACGCTCAGCAGCATCTGCAGCTTTGGGGACTTGCCCAGGGGAGGCCAGCCGAGTTGCGGCACTCAGACTAAGACTACCAGTAGAAAACTTTCAAGGAGTGAAAGCCCCCCTGGGTGTCCGGAAGCAGCATGCAGAAGCTGCTACATGTCACGGAGCACTCGATTGCGCCAGTAGAAAACCCGGTTTTCACAAGACTACGTAGAAGAAGTTAAAGGCACATCTCCTATGGCTTGTTCTTCTTCTAGTACTACCACCACCATGACCACGACCGCCACCACGATTACTACTAATTACCACTACCACCACCACCACCACCACCACCGCCGCGGCTGCTGCTGCCGCTGCTGCTTCTTCCACTGCCACGTGCTACCACGACTCCTGCTGCTACCACCATTTCCGCGAATACTACCACTGCTACTATCATGACTACTACTACTACTACTCCTCCT